ATCTATTAAAGTCATTTTGAATTTTCATCTTGTCTTCTGGGGTATTAGTTATTCCATGAAGTGTTTGGTCTTAAAGAATTTGCACAATGGCCTTAATGATGAAGCTTGCCTCCACAGCAATATCTTTGGCAAAAGAATGAGATTATGAACAGGATTGCAGTCCTGGGTTGGATCCAGATTGAGGCACATGTAGCTGCAATGATGCCATGGGACTTCCCTACCCTTCTACTTCCCACAGCAGGTATCCTTCAGCCTCCTGGAAATAGTAAATAGATGGGACAAAGAGTGGTACAAGGGTTGTTGTTTGTTGTTGTGTGCCTTCAAGTTATTTCTGATTCATGGCAACCCTAAGGTGAACCTATCATGGGGGTTTCTTGGACAGATTGCTTCAGAAGGGGCTTGTTATTGCCATCCTCTGAGGTTGAGAGTGCAACGCTTAGTCCAGCGCCTAGTCAAACAACTATGCCTCATGCCTCCAAGTTGATTCTGGCTTATGGAAACCCTTTCCTAGTTTTTTTTCCAGCAAGATTTCTCCAAAGCATCCTTGTCTTCCTCTGAGTTTCAGAAAATGTGACTTGTCCAAGGACACCCATTGTGTTTCCATGGCTGAGTAGAGATTCAAACTCTGGTCTCCAAGAATCCCAGTCCAACACTTAAATCGCTACACCATACTGGGTCTCACCTTCAACTTTACCAAGCATTATAATCTTTTTCAGTGAGTCATGCCATCTCATGATATGTACAAAGTATGATAGTTTAGTCCTTTTGGCTTCTAACAAGAGTTCAGACTTAATCTGCTTTCGGACCCATTTGCTTGTCTTTTTGCCAGTCAATGGTAGCTATAGAACTCTTCTCCAGCATCACATTTCAAATGTGTTGGTTATTTAGGAATGTGAATGATAATAGATTGTGTGTATGTGTAATAGAAGGAATTAAAAATGTATTAAGAATTGGTTTTTTAAAAATTATCCTTTTTCTTTTTTTAATGTACAAGTTGAAATAAATAGATTTGTGGGAAAAATGTTTTGGTCATCTATTTTGCTCTTAATTCAAAAGTTAGTTGAATTGGGCAGTGTTGGGTAGTGATAAGAGTGTCAAGAGTTGTAGTTGGGAAATCAAAGTACAACTGTCCATTAACCAGGAAGTTCACTTGGTGACTGTGGATGAGTTGCTCTCTCTCAGCCTAACCTACCTCACAGGGTTGTTGTAAGAGTAAAGTGACAAGGAAAAGAGCCATGTACACCACTATGAGTTCACTGGAGGAAAGGCGAGACAGAAAGTGACAAAAGATATATAGATGGTTAGTAAATTTACCTTGTGTTGCTTCTAGTTGATGCTGTTGATTTAATTTATGTACAATGGAAAAGTATGACTGGCAGTACCTAAAATCCTTAAAATATGTTTCACACCAGATTCCATACAAAATGGTCTCAAACTAACAATTTTCTGAAAAAAAGCTGGAATTTGCCATTCTGTCTTAAATTTGTATAGACATGTTTGTGATGTTAATCTAAGTGTAAATACACTGTTTTGTCAAAAGTGGTTTACCAATGCGGATTGTAAAGCAAAAAAGATAGAGTTCTGAAGCATTTGTTCAAGTTTTTT